GTTTGTATGAAGCTTCATACAAACAAACCCCTGTCATGCCAGTGCCTTCCGGTTTTGAAATGAGTGCAGGCTGCAGCATGAGGTGCAGGTGAACAGGACACAGCAGCAGTGCTGGCACCCCACTCCACTGGTTTATGTTCTGTGGCTCTTTTGTTAGTTCTCTTCTTCCTGTTCTTTTCAAAGTCTTTTTGGGAGACTGTGCTACTTGCAACCCATGCTGGCAGCAGTTGAGAAGGAACAGAGAATGGTCACCGGTGCATGCATGTCACTCAGAGTGATTGTGCAATAGCACAGCATGCACCAGCAGCCAGGGACTGCTACCAAAGATCTCTGGGCCATGTGTACAAGAGGGCTGATACACCTAAGTGGAGCACCCACGGGGACCCTTGAAGAAGAAGTACCAATTCCTAAAATTTTCTGTGTAAGACTGTTCTGTTGCTCCTCATTTAAATATGCAGGACTATGCTAGAATTAACCCCAAAGTAACTGAACTCAATTTAATTCCTTTCCATTGGCAGTTTTCTCTTACGAGAGCAGTTAATACAGCCACTGCTTCATGACTGGAACCATAGCTCTCTTTTCACTATTTGCAGCTTGTGAGAAACCATTAAGTAAGTAATAGAGTAGAGGGATGTTATACATTTAAAGCTGGCTTCCCCATGAGCACTGACTCCCACCTGTCCCCTGTGCTGCTGCCTCTGATAGAGGCAGCAAGGGCATGTAACCTTTAGAATTTAACAGATGAGCCTGGGCTTATCAGTTAATTATGTAAATGCTAACATCCATAGTACAGAATCCAATCCTGCTTCACACCATAAGTACTTCAGCTGCTAAGAGTTTCCTGAGAATCAGTCTCCCAAAACACAGGTCTTCCCTCCACCTTTCCTGTATTAGAAAGCCTCCATATCCAGTAGCTGGGTTTGATTTCCAGGGGCAGAAACAAGACAAAATTTGTTCACTAATCCAATTGGCTACAATCAATGGCTTCAACTCATTAGCTACAGAGGCTTCAATTTTTTAAAACTCAATCTTTCTCCCTGCCATTTGCCTCCCACATTTTTTGGGCTCTGCACAGTCTCCAGTCACTGCCCTTGGCCAAGACCAAGTTTACTGGTAGTTTTGATCCCTTATTTTTATTATTGAACATTGTCTAAGACCTTGTTAGACTAGACCACTAGCCCAGTAGATTTCTGATTCTATTACATACTATTAGCCACACACCAATTGTTGTTTAACTGACTAAACTGAAGAGCTGAGACACCAATCCTTGCTACCTCTAAACTTTGCCCATTCCTCTTGATGGTCAAACTCCCTCTACTTACCGCTAATACACTTATCTAATCTAAGTTTTGCATTACTGTCAATTTCCCTTGCTTTTCAAACCAAATTTACCTTTTGAACAATTAAAGTGATATCATGAAACAAGTTAGATTTTTTTCAGTTAAACATAGGGATGTAAGTGTAGACGATTAACTGATTATGCTAAACTACATGCATTTCCCTCCCTCTTCTCCCCTTGCCAATAAATTTTTTAGTGGGCTAGCCAGCAGCCCAGCTCAGTTCTGGCTTGCCCTGGGTCCGAGACCTACCCCCACTGTGGCTCTGCATTTAAAGTGTATTGGAGCCAGGTGGGCAGGCAGCCTGGATCAGTTCTGGCTCGTGCTGGTCCAGGAGCTCAGGCCTCGCTCTCCCCAGACAGGGGCTGCTGTCACCCCATGCTGCTGTCTCTGTAGGAGAAGCATCCAATCCCTTCCCCCCCCCCCCTTTTTTTTTTAAATAAGCAGAACCCATTACTAAGGCTAAGCTTGGTCATGGAAATCTTGAGTAAAAGTTATGGGCAGGTCACAGGCAGTAAAGAAAAATTCATGGAAGCCTTGACCTGACTGACTATTACTGAAAACATATGTAGGTGCCTACACTGCCTGCAGCAGGGTAGTTACTCAGCAGTTATGAATTGGAGGGTTGGATTTTGGAGCTGTAGTGATACCCCACAGCTTCCAGCCCCTGTGGGCATCCGTATACCATTCAGCTTCTGAGTGCCATAGGCTGAAGTCACAAACATCACTGGAAGTCAGATTCCGTGACTTCTGGGACATTGACCAAATTGTAGCCTCACTCGATCACAAGATACTTATACAATGGCATAGTTAAAAAAAGGCGTAGACAAGTATATGAACAATGTGAGATTTTCATTTAGGGGACTCCACATATTCTATAAGAGTATTGTCTTCTACTTGAGGCATAAACCAGAGTTTTCTATTATGAGGAATCTTTCCTAGTTAAAGTTATTCCACAATTGTAAGTGTGCAGCTTGTTTGCTCCTCCCTCGACCATATATTATTGACCAGTCCTAATTCATAATTGACTAGATACTCCAGTGGTTAAACTCAATATGGAAATTTGTGTTCTGCAGAGCCCCACAGGCTAGGGGGCTGGAGTGGTGACATTCCAGTTAATCAGTTAACTGATTAAACAAGATTTTACAACTCTATGTGAGAGGTCACCTTTTTAACTAGACAAAACACATATCACAATTGAAAGTGGTCAACCAGACTTTAAAAATGTAGGTCGCAGCTGTAGCTGCATCACTATGACAAGTAGATACTTCCCATATTGATTAATGGATTCCCCTCCCCCCCATTGATATAGTTAATCCACTTCTAGGAGGCAGTGGCTAGGCTGACATTTTTTCCATTGATCTAGCACAGGCCTATCCAAATTGGGCTTTTGGGCTGGATCCAGCCTAGCAAGCTTCTGAAGTCAGCCCACGGAGGCCCAAGCAGACTCCCCTGCTTGCCCCACACATTGCTCAGAAATATGGCTGCCAGGCTCGGTTCAAAACTGGAGGGGAGAAAGCTTCAGAAGATGCTCCCGCTCCCAGCACAATCCCATTGGCTGGTTTCTGGCCAGAAACAGGCCATTGGGAGCTGCTTGTTTGAACAGCAGGCAGCCAAGAACCACCACATCCCTGCTCCTTGGCTCAGTTATTCACACAAGCACATGGCCAGTCAGGCAGATACACTGGCTAGGAAACATTGTTAAGCTCTGCAAGCCTTAGCTCTGCAGGCAGGCAAGCAAATAAGGCTCCTGGCCAGAGCCTGCCTCTGGCACCCCCGACCATTCCTTTTCCAACCCTCTGCCCCCCCAGTCAACATACCCAAACCCTCTGCCCCTCTCACACCCATGCTCCCTCCCAGATCTGGTACCCCAATCTCCTGCCCCAGCTCACAATCCCCTCCTATCCTAGGTCACATCCCAAACCCCTGCACCCAGGTCGCAACTGCCTCCTTCGCCCAAATTCCCTCCCAAACTCCAGTCTCCCTCCTGCACCCAATCTCCATCCCAGATCCCATATCTCCATTAATATCATGGAAGAGCGAGGCCCTCGACCACTTGCCAAAATCTTGGAGTGCCCCCCGTCAAAAATTATTGCCCACACCTGATCTAGCAGCAGGTGGGTTGACATAACCACAGCACTTAAGGAGCAATCTTTTCTCCTGCAGAGAAGAACAGATGTAGCTAGGTTGATCTAGTTTAGTTTAGACCAGGCCTGAGTCACATGGACCAAGACTTTCATCAACAGATTTACAAGCATTAGAAATAAATTACCTGACCCAGAGCCTGAAGTAGTCATATCATAAATTAAATCTTTTAAAGTAGTTCCTTCTGATATAAAAGGACGATCCAACGAGGGATCTTCTTCACTTGGTACACGATGATGAATGACAGTACGATTATGGCAGATATAGAGAATCAACATTAGTGAAATGCAAACAAAGCAGACTGGTCCAGCAATAATAGCTGCCAGTTCCACAGGTCCTAGATTAGAAGTGGATTCTCCTAAAGTAGGGCCTACAAGTGGAAGTGAGAGAAAGAAAACAAGTGTTACTGTTTTGTAATAGCAAATATGTTTTATTAAACATTTGTTTAGCATTTGAGTGTATAGCGTATCAGTTACTGGTCTGAGGAATTCTTTTGAATTTTCAGTAAGAAAATTTGAGTCTTAACTCTTTCAGTTCTGTGAGTCACTAGTATTATACTGTAGAGATTGAAGTGATATACACTGAAATACAGGATTGTTAAAAAGATTCGATGCAAGCCATACAGCATTGTGATGCAAGAGACGTTTTGGGTACTATTCTGTTATTATTTTATTCCTTTATCTACACCTTCAAAATAATATTTAAGACTTACAATAGATGCCCTGGTCTGACCTGATAGAATTCTGATTCTAGGTCACAACAAGGCTTAGAGAGATCATCTAGTCTACTCCCTACACCCCCGGTAAATTTAGACCATTCAACAGCTCAAAAAAAATCTCCAGTGATGAAGATTCCACAGCTTTCCTAGGTAAGCTTTCAAGTGCTTAACTAAGAAAAACTTCATGTCAGGGTAATGTCTAAACTATCTAAATAACTCTTGATACAATTTACGCTTTTTGCTCTTCATCGCCAAGGATGGGCCAAGAAACAATTCCTTCCCCCTGCCTCTCCCACCTTACTTTATAGCAACATTTCATGTACTCGAAAACTATTATGTCCCCTCTCAGTCTTCTCTGCTACAGACTAAACAAACCCAATTTTTTCACTTTGCACACAAGTCATGTTTTAGAACCCCTTTCATCATTTTATTGTGCTCTCCAGTTTGCCACATCTTTCTTCAAATGTGGCATGCAGAACTGCACACAATACTTCAGTTGAGGCCTAATCAGCACAGAGTAAAGAGAATTACTTCCCTACATCTTGCTCAGAACACTCCTAATATATCCCAGAATATTTGACTTTTCCTCAACAGTGATATTTGTAATCCACCATGACCCCATTCCTTCTCTGTAGTACTTCTTCCTACTGCAGCGGTTCCCAAACTTTTCCAGATGGGAACCCATTTTGACAATTCAGGAAAACTTGGTGACTCAGGGTAATTCAAAAAAAATGTGTGAATGGCTCCTTAAGAGCCCCCTGGGGAGACACTTGGCAACCCTTTTGAAATGTAATGGCGACCCATATTTGGGTCCCGACCCATATATTGGGAAACCCTGTCCTAGAGGGTCATTTGTTTCCCATTCTGTGTGTCTGTGTATGCACAATTGATTCCTTCTTAAATGGAGTACTTTGCATTTGTCCCTAATGACTTTTACCCATTTCCTCTAGACCACTTCCCACAGTGGATTTTGAATGTTAAGATTATCCTCCAAAACACTTGTAACCCCTCCCAGCTTGGTATCAGCTGGCAAGTGTTACAAGTGTAGTGGATCAAATATCTTCATCAATTAAACAGAATGTAGGAATGCTTACCTGGATAACTGATTAAAAAGCAGGGGGCTGCTCTGGCTGGAGCACCCCCACCTTGCCGGAGGCCCAAAGCAACCCCACACTCCTGCCACCTGACTGGAGTGCCCCCTGCCACCTTTCATCCATGGGGCAGGCGGCTTGGCCTAACACATCCCCGTTGAAGTGCACCCTATCACCCTCTGGCCCAGCCAGAAGACAGCCCACTCCCCTCTGCCACAGAATAGCAGGCTTGGCCAGGCCTGAGTGTACTCCACCCTTCTCCACTGTACCGGGTCCGGCCTGGCCCAGCTAGAGCGCACGCCCCCTTACCCCACCACATTTAATTGGTTAGCCACCTAATTGGGATTTTACATCCTGAACACAATGAGATCTAGAACTTATCCCTGCAAGGTACCACTCCATATGCCCTTCCAGCTTGATTGAAGCACTATTAAAAACAGTTCCTAGAGAATCAACCTGTTAAGCATGTATCTTATACATTCATGTAAGCTGCATTTCCCTAGTGTATTTTGAAGAGAAGGTGATGTTAGTGTCAAGAGACTTACTCAAGTTAAGATGTATCACATCTATCATTTCCCTCTCCTATCCACTAGGCTTGCTACCCCGTCAAAGAAAGCTATCAGGTTGGTCTGTCACTATTTGTTCTTGACATTCATTCTGAACATTACTTACCACGTTATTGGTGTGGCATTTGCAAAGCTGATTGCTCCACTATCTTTTTGGATACTGAATTAAGCCAACTGGTCTAATTCCACAGGTTGTCCTTATTTCCCTTTTTATAAGTGGGCACTGTATTGTGTCCCTTTTTCTGTCATCTAGAATCTTTCATATCTATGACTTTTTAAAGATAAATCACTAGTGCCTCAGACATGTTCAGTGAACTCTGAATATTCTAAGGATGTGTCTCATCAGGCCCCACTGGATGCGAAGACATCTAACTTGTCTAAGTTTTAACTTGTTCTTTGCCTATTTCAGCCTCTGATCAGACTTCATTTTCACTGGCATTCCTTATGCTAGCCATCCAACTACCACTAACCTTTTTGGTGAAAAACAAGCAAAGTTATTTAGTACTTCTGACATTTCAACATTGTTATTCTTCACTCCCTCATCTTTACTTGCACTTAGTTTAGTTTTCTTAACTTTATAAATGAGCATTGATTTTGTTGGGAAATTACTTAAAAAGGTTTACCTGGCGTTGGAATTTGAAGTTCTATTTTATTGCAGTAGTCTACCATGCAGCAATGAGGCACAGTAACAACACCATTACTGGATGATGGGGCACAAACAAATGGCCTGTCTCGTGGAATCAGTTCCTCCTCTTTTATGCACATGGTATTATGTATGACTTTGTCTTGAGTTCGTGTTACTGAAGCAAAGCAGAGCCCATCAGTCTCACATGTGAAGTTTTCTTTTGTACATAGATGGCAGAAACACTGTAATGCTGCATTGAAGGAAAAGAAGTTTGTGGTAGTTATGTTAAGCAATATTAGAACTGTGAAATAGTTTTTGACTAAGAGGCCAAAATATTTTCCCCATTGCCACTTTTCTAAGCCATATAACACAATAAAAATATGCCTCTTAACAGACTAACAAAATAAGTGAGCAGGAAAAGAGAACAAAAGGAAATATTGCTTTAACTTTAACTACGTGTAGATGAACAACCCCTCCCTCCCCCGATACGTTTAGGTCACACGTTGGAAGTTACTAAAAAATAAAAAAGGTGAACTATTTTGAAGTTTACTGCAAAGTGAACTACAGCAGGGTAACACCTCTAAAGCATTAAGAGCCCAATCGAATTCAGAAGGAGCCAAACAGGAATTTTGTCATTTCAATGGAAACAAAAGCACATCATTAGTGTAGAATGACCACACAGTCAGCCACATGTCATGCATTAAAGACACACTATTTCCCAAGAGTTTATGCGCTCTACCTCCCAACCCCCATTAAAGAACTTGTCCTTCTTAGAAAGGATTTGTCCAACCTGTCCTGAATTCAATGGAGATTAATGGGAGTTATATTGGGTCCTTGCTAGGAGGCTACAGAACGAAGCTTCCGCATCCAGAGTACAGGCACTACCATGGCACAGCTTTAGAGCTATATCTATGCTACCATACCACCAGCAGTGTATAAAAATACTTTCTCCTATGTTATAATAGCTAGATTGACAAGCATATGTACACACCTAGGTTGGCATAATTAGGGCACTCAGGGCTATGAAATTTCAAGAGCCTTCATAAAGAAGCCATGCTTAGTTTCCCTCCTTAGCCTTTCCATGCATAAAGTGCTATCTACAAAAAAAGACAGCCAATAAAAGGAGAGCAGAGCGTCAATTTATGCCCATATATTTGTCCAAAGAGCAAGAGCACATGCACACTTGTTCTATAGGTGGAGGTTAGTGCCTAGGACAATATTTCTCTACATTATCCCAAGATCTCCAGCAAGAGAAGATGTGCAATTGCCATTTCAAAGAGTAAAAAAGTTGGATGACATTTGTCTAGAGAGATAATGTAGGACAAAACAAAAACAAAGCATCTTTGTTTTCCAGCACACCTTTAATGAAACATACAGTTGTCTCAGTTATACAACTTAGCACATTCACAGATGAAATCTTAAGAGTAGGAGAGATCCCAAGTAGTAATGAATTGCAGGGATAACCAGAGGCAACAACTAGAAAAGAATTCAGTACAATGTCTTGAGGTATTACTCATTTCTCTGCAAATGGCACTCTCAGTATATGGTGCTGAAGTGTAAACCGTGAAAGAATTAGATCAGCGCTTAAAAAAAAAAAGCTGAGAGAGTGTATGGATTGATCATTCAAGAAAGTTAGAACACACAATCATATCCTTTACATAAATCTCACCTCTCCTACATGGAAGATATTGGATGCTTCCATGCAGGTGCTGCATTGAATGCAGTGTTCTGATTATCTCCAAACAGCATTAAGAACTTTGGGTGGTAGGTTAAGACCAAAGGAAAAACAGATGGAGCCTTCTCTCCCTGCCTGACCCTTCCTCTCCCAATTCCCCCATATAATCCCTAGATATTTTAAAGGAATGATAATACACCATAAGCATTATCTTTTCCTCCAAACTTTTTCCAAAGCAGGGAATTCCTCTTTAGAGAGTCAAGAGCAGCCATGTACAAAAGAGGCCCTCTGATTACAGCTAAAAGGAGCGGGATAGGAAAAAAGGGATGCCCTGAAATCTATGGATATTTGCCCTCTTCTCAATCCAAGGGGAAGGCAAAACAGTATGGCAAAAGCTCTGTTGAAAATTTAAGACACTCTCTTCTCCTTTTATCCCTGCTTGTAAGTTTCACCATAGGATGAGGTGATGTGGCTCCAAATATATATTACTTGGAAAACAAGAGAGTCAGAGAATATGGGATGTGAAAAATGCCATGCAAGCTAACTACATAGCCTGCAACTCCCTGATATTTATATGCAATCTTATACCTTAGGAAAACTAGAAGCTTTGTGTCTGAACAAGATGCAAATGAGCCCCCTCTCCCCCACACAAGCCCTGTTACAAGATGCAAGACCACTAAAGGCAGAATGAAGGAAACTCCCTTTTAATGTTTGAATGTTCCATCCATCAACCTTAAAATGTTTGAATGTTCCATCCATCAACCTAGAGAGCCTAAGACGACCTGATTTAGAATATGAACGATCATATTTATATAATGGTTCCTTGATGAATACAGCATGTCCAGCCAGCACTGTAGCTCTCTAAAACATAGTCCAGCACATTGGACTTCACATGTGATGAGAGAACGTGTCCGTCTAGCCTGACTCCTTGCAGAATTTTCTATTAACATTTGAGAAGGAAGGTTTTGGCCACCATGAAATTAAGGACTATGGCAATTAGTTCTATTATTGGTATGGGAGACAGGACAGATGTCTTTGTTGCTCAGCAGACAAAGAACATGAAACATGAATTGGATAATGTCTATAGCATACAACAAGACTTGCAACTTGAACCTCTTACCAGACAACTGTCCAAGTAAAGAAAGGTGTGGACTCATTTCCAGAGGAATGCTGCTACCATCACCACACAATACAAAAAGTGGCAACCAACAAACCCAAGGGCAGCATTATGTATTGCTAGTGAACCAGGCTACGGAAGAAATAGTAGGACCATTTAAACAGTTAACCATAATGGAAACTAAGCTGATGCTTATTGGTTACATATTAGCTCCTCTGACAACTCTACTACCAGAGAGCCAACCCTATGCTGCAGGCTCCGCAGTACCAGAGTGTTAAAAAAAAAAATGTCCTACTGGGACAGCTGCACCACGGCTCCAGCTCCCGCAGCTACCATGTGGTCAGTGGGGCTGCATGGCAGGTGGCTACGCCAGTAGCACAGAACTAGACAACTAGAAAGCTGGCATGTGTCCCTAGGTTTGCTGTAGGCTGCCAGTGTGACCTAGGCAACTCACTTAGCCTCTCTGAGGCACAGTTTCTCCAAGTGAAAAAATATGGCTATATAAATTTACTGAAGTCAAAGGCTATAATATTCTGATGTGAGATGACCTAAAACAGGCAAAATGATGGCCTGTGTCAACACGAGATGTGCCAGATCTTAGAAGAGTCCTTTGAGCCAATGAGAGGACACATTTTTAATGAGGACTGTTATATTTTTACAGTTCAATAACACGCCCTATAACTCTCTGGGCTTGCTTGTGATCCAGTCTGCTCATGTACTAAGATTCTAACCATCCTTCACATTTTACAAGACTATAGCAAGTTTGTCTACAGATTCCATAGGTTAGGGGTGGCAGAGAGAATTATATTTATTCATTTTCCATTTACTCTCAGATATTGACTGGTTTCAGTCTCTACCCTGGAGTTAGTACCTAACTGTTCTATTGAAGTCTGAGGAAATGCTTTAAAAAAAAATCAAAAAAAAAAAAAAACGGTCAGGCTGTTGCTCTGTTGAAAGGGTCTTGTTTGGCAAACATCTTTATTCTCTTTTCCCTTAGAGAATTTTGTATTCTACAAGTGTAACTGCTTGAAAGGAATGAGATGGCTGATTGACAGTCAGCCAATCCATCAAGACAGTAGTGAAGTTGAAGTTGCAGAGTTTAAAAAAAAAATTCTATTGGTATCTGCAGAGATTCTGACGGGCTATATAGTAGGCATGAGGCCAAGTCCTTAAGTGATGCATGTACTTCCACACATTTCTATGGTTTACACTTGATAAGGATCTGGCCCACATTGCTGAAAACTTAGCCCAATTGAACATGTCCCATTTCTTTTTATATTCACATCAAGTAGATGGAAGAACAGCAGGAACTACTATTGCTCCCTTGACATATGAGCCTGCAGTTCTTATGAAGAAATTCCCATACTTTAGGCCAGTGGTCCCCAACCTTTTGGGGCTGCCAGGCACCCAGTTGTGGGGGCGGGCATGCGCCCTGGGGAGGGGGGCGCCACCCATGCGCCGCGTGCCCAGAGCTGGCACCACCCATGCACCGTGTGCCCAGAGCTGGTGCCGCAACTGTGCTGCACACCCAGGGGTGGGGCTGCCCATGTCCTGCACGCCCAGGGCCACCACCACCCATGCGCTGTGTGCCTGGAGCCAGCTCCTGTGCCATGCACCCAGGGCCGGTGCCATCCATACGCTGCAAGCCCGGGGCATCCCTCGCGCCGCTCAGCCGGGGCTGGTACCACCCATGCCACGCACCTGGGCCAGCACAGACCTTGCACCATGCACCCGGGGGTGGGGCTACCTAACCACCACGCACCTGGGGCTAGTGCTGACCATGTGCTGCATGCCTGGGGCCAGCGCTGCCAATGCTTCCAGGGGCTGGCTCTGCCCAGGCGCGCCACACGTCTGGGAGCGGGGCCGGCCCCAATCACTTGGCAGGCGCACAGAAATGGCCTAGTGGGCACCACTATGTTAGGCAGTATATTCAGAGGCAATATAGCCAAGTAGCCTTGGGCTACATTTTCACTGCAAGTTCTTCAAGCAGAAAGTGTGCTAATGAGGGATTCATTAGCACAAGTTGTGCTCTCATTAGCATAGTTTGTCATTTCTTTTTGCGCAAAAAGCAACAGTGGGGCTGGGTGGGTTTTTTTTTGGCTCAAAACAGGGTTTTTGCACAAGATCCTTATGCCTCTCCGGGACAGACACAAGGTTCTTGCACAAAAGAAGAACTTGCAGTGAAGACGAAGCCTTAGGTATAAGCAGAAACTGACAGTTTTATGTAGGTAAACTGATCATTCGCAACTCAGGGAAAGTATAGCATCAGAAAGTGGATTTGATATTTTGCAAGTATATCCGTAAATAGTTCAAATATTACATATGTCTCAAGTTACTATACTTTATAAAACATTAAAGGAAAATTGTGGTGCCTTATGTGTGCACAAGTGATAAAATACTCCCTGGGTCAAATTGACCAGAGTTAACTACTTGTTTAAGCGGTATGAACATTTAAATT